GTAGAGTGCATAGACTGACTTGTGCAATAGTGCGGCAAGTCCAGACACAAATGGACCGATTGTTGGTCCAAGGAACCTACTGTTGTCCGAGTGGCAGCAGTGAGAGTACAAAAACGGAAAAGAGGGAATGGGAAATCCAACTCTCAGAAGAAGGCTAAAGTGGCTGCTGTAGTAGCAGAAGATCCACTTGTTGTACTCCCGGAGGTTACAGAAGATTTTGTTTTTCAGCCTGAGCAAGACTCGGACAATGAAATCATCTGGTAGAAAAAGTGTCTGTTTTAGTCTATGTTTACTAGTTTTCTTTTATATGGGTTTTTGGTTTCTATGTTTCTCTTGAATAAATTATGATTGTGTTTCCGCCTATTTGATTGCTCCAAGCACTCTGAGGATGGGTTTAAGACCCGAAACAGCTGGTCTGTCAGTGCTCTACCAAAGTTACATTTTGTTACCAAGACACTTCCAAACCACTGCTAAAAAGACTACTACACAATATATCTGCTATATTACCGCTTGGGAATAGAACCAAAGGATCTCTGATCTTAGTAGTGCCCGAAGCTATTAGCTATGTTGAAAAGACAAAGAGAAACAAGTTCAGAACCCGCTGTTAAGCAAAGAAGGTTGGAACAGAGGCTTCCCTCCTTACCAGTACATGGAAAAAGACCTATACTAAAGGCAGGACTGTCATGGACGGTCAAAGGAAAGGATGAAGGCGCCCAAGGGTCTTTTCTGTTTGACACCGGTTGTACAGGAGCTATCCTCAACCAGAGTTTTGTCAGGAAACATGGAATTCCCTTAGTGCGGCGGGATCAACCTCTGACAATGTTTGATGCTCAAGGAGATGTCATGATGGGAGGAGGCGAGTATTACACTCACCCGGTCCGCATGACTATGGGAGATCATAAAGAGACACTCCGATGGGAGGTGGCTACACTGGAAGAAGGAATGACCGGTTACCTGCCAATTAGTTGGGCTAGGAAGCATAACCCGGACATCAACTGGGAACTCAACACCATGAGCTGGAGGAGTGACTACTGCAAGCAGAATTGTCTCCCAGCGGCCACCAAGATTGAACTGATCTCTCCATACCAAATGTTGGAAGAAGAAGAGACAGTCTATCAATTGGTTGGTTCAGTATGGCATGATGAGGACGGAGGTGATATTGCCGAGAAAATACACCACCTATACCGGGATTGGGCTGATGTGTTCAGTCAAGAGAAGATTGAGGAAATGCCGTCGCATTCCCATAATGATCTGAAGATCAAACTCTTGCCTGGGACCGCTCCCCCATTTGGCCCGCTATACCCATGCTCCGCTCCAGAGTTGAAGGCCCTCCGAGAGTACCTGGACAAAGAGTTGTCTTCAGGAAAGATCTCTAGATCGAATAGCCCTGCTGCGGCACCCATACTGTTCATTCCTAAGAAGGACGGGACTTTGCGGATTTGTGTGGATTATAGAGGTTTGAACAAGGTCACTGTCAAGGACAAGTACCCGCTGCCTATCATGAGTGAGCTCAGAGACAGGTTGTTCAAGGCCAAGATCTTCACAAAGATAGACCTGAAGAATGGCTTCAATTTGATCAGGATAGCCGAAGGTGATGAGTGGAAAACCGCTTTCAGAACCCGCTATGGACTGTATCAGTACAATGTGATGCCATTTGGCCTATGCAATGCTCCCTCCGCTTTCCAGGCAATGATCAATGATGTGCTAAAGGAACTACTGGATGAAGGAGTAGTTGTCTATATCGATGACATCCTCATCTACTCGGAGACTGAGAAAGAGCATGAGCTATTGGTCAAGAAGGTACTACAGAAGCTTAGGGAAGCTAAGCTCTGTGCCTCGATCAATAAGACATCCTTCCATGTCCGAGAAGTAGAATACCTAGGCTATCATATCTCGGAACAAGGAGTATCTATGTCAGAAGACAAGGTGGAGGCAGTTAAGGAATGGCCGGTCCCTGAGAATATCAAGGCAGTACAGGCATTCCTCGGATTTGCAAACTTCTATCGCCGCTTTATTGAAGGCTTCAGTAAGGTTTGCAAACCACTAACTGACCTCCTACAAAAAGACAAGAAATGGTATTGGACAGCAGCACATGAGCAGGCCTTTGAAGAACTCAAGAGGCTGTTTACAAGCGCTCCAATCCTCCTTCATTTTGACCCTAGTAGGAGAACGGTGGTCGAGACAGATGCCAGTGATTTTGCCAAGGGAGCGGTGCTCTCTCAGTATGGGGATGATGGGAAGCTACATCCGGTGGCATTCTATTCTAAGAAGTTCTCCCCTGCTGAGATCAACTATGACATTCATGATAAGGAAATGGGAGCTATTGTAGCCTCTTTCCGGGAATGGGAACACATGCTCAAATCTTGTGAGCAAGAGATCACGGTTTTTACAGACCACAAGAACTTGGAGTACTTTAATTCTACCAAGGTTCTCACTAGGCGGCAAGCTAGATGGTCTGAGGACCTCGCAGGCTACAATTTTAAAGTTGTCTACAGACCGGGAGAAAAGAATGGCAAGACTGATGTGCTATCTAGGCGCTGGGATCACCGCCTTGGAGAGGGAGGTGAAACTCTGCAGCCGGAGCCACAGATCTTTTTTAGGCCAGGTCAATTGGTTTTGGATCCTGCAAAGCTAGGGGCTGTCAGGGTGAATCAATTGCAGAATACATTCTTAGAGCGCCTATACACGGCTGCTAAAGAGGATAGTTTCTGGCAGGAATTGCACCGCTCCCTGGTTGAAAGGAAACCAAATTTGGACCAGAACTTGTCGGTCAAGAACGGTCTCATCTTCTACAAGAATAGATGGTACATACCCAAGGACAAGAAGCTTCAGATGGAAATACTGTCCGATACCCATGACTCTAAGGTGGCTGGTCATTTTGGCCAATTTAAGACACTAGAGCGGGTGAAAAATAACTTCTTTTGGCCCAACATGGATAAGGATGTTGAGGAATATGTCCGGAGCTGTGACAGCTGCCAGAGGAATAAGACCTCAAGACACAAGAAGTTTGGTATGCTCCAACCGTTGGAGATACCCTATCGGCCATGGACTTCCATCTCTATGGACTTCATTGTGGGACTACCGGAATCTAGTGGGTTTACAAAGATCTGGGTAATAGTGGACCGCTTTTCGAAGATGGCACACTACATCCCTCTTCCTACCCTCAATAAAACGGAAGATTTGGCTAAATTGTTCTTGAAGGAAGTTTGGAGACTCCATGGTTTGCCTGATGACATAGTCTCGGACAGAGATAGCAGGTTCATTTCTCACTTTTGGCAATCTCTCATGAGCCTCCTCAATGTGAAGCTGAAGATGTCCACATCTTTCCACCCCCAGACGGACGGTCAAACAGAAAGAGTTAATCAGACCCTGGAACATTACTTGCGGAGTTATTGTTCATATCAACAGGATGACTGGGCAGAACTCTTGCCTTTGGCAGAGTATGCTTATAACTCGGCGGTCTCTGAGTCTACCAAAGTATCGGCTTTTTATGCCAACTATGGATATGAACCCAGGACCAACTGGCCGGCCCCAAAGGAAGGAGTAGAATGGAACAATCCAGCAAGTGAGGTCATGATTTCTCAATGGGAATCTATCTGGCAGGCTATGAACGCCAGCTTGGGTAAAGCTAGATTAAGGATGGCCCGGTGGTATGATGCTCATGCCCTGGCACCACCTGAAATCAAGCCCGGAGATGAAGTTATGTTGGACCGGCGCAATGTGCAAACAAAGCGGCCTTTGGGAAAATTGGATCAGAAGAAGATGGGACCCTTTAAGGTCTTAGAAGCTATTGGTACCCGTGCCTACAAGCTCTCTCTTCCCCCCCAGATGGGAATCCACCCGGTCTTTCACGTCTCTCTCCTAGAACCCTACAGAGCACCGGTAGATCCTGAGAGAAGAGTTCCCCCACCGGAACCCGAAGAGGTTGAGGGAGAACAGAACTGGGTTGTCCGAGAGGTAGCTGATAGCCGGTTCAATAAGAAGAGAAGACGAGTGGAATATCTAGTGCTGTGGGAAGGTTATGAGAACGAGGATGCTACATGGGAACCTTGGGAGCATCTCAAGAAGAGTGCTGAAGAAGCCCTTCGGGATTTCCATATGAGGTATCCTAAGAAACCCAAGGACAAGCGGATTGTTGGGGTGTAGATTATTTCCTTTGGGTTTTCATTTCCTTGCATATCACGGAGTTTCTTGTCATATAGAATGGTAATAGAATGGTTATAGATCTCGGAGACCAAGATCCTGGAAGAGGGGAGTGGTGTAACGGAGCCATTTCAACTGTCTGGTGTATGAGTACACACAGGGCCCGGTTACATGCTGAGAGCTATTGTTAGAAGCCAGTTGCACGGTGATATGCAAGTACCGGCAGTGTGGTTAGCTACCAGCTGTTAGAGTAACTACATTCCGGGCGCTAGGAAGAGGATCTATTCATGGGAGCAATGACTGACGAGTCTATGCCTCGCCAGTGACTAGAAGACCGGCCAGAGTGAAGCTCTGATTGACCGGTGATCCTCTGTATCCTCGGTGCATTATAAGTCCGCCGAAGGGCAGGGACTATGCTAGGGAAGTCTACAATAAGCGAAAGCTCTACAGCAATGATTAAGCTTACACCTGAGCGGCAGCTCATTCATGCAGGTCCTCAGTTGTGTGGCAACCAAGGCTGCAGGTGTTACAAAGGCTTTGACTAAGGGTGGTTGCCTTGGGTATCGGAAACACCTGCTGACGCTTAGAGAAAAGCGGGGTAGCGGTGGTATTGTTTCCGGTACTGAGGGAAGGCCCACCGGAACTTAGTAAAGGAGTTAGGAGCAGAGAACAGAGGCCTTCGGAGTATAAGTACTCAGGTTCATTCCCGCCCTTCAGTCCTATTCTCTCCAGTCTTCATCAGAAAGAAAAACCAAGTTCTCATCGGTAGCAGAGCCCTTAAAGATTATTGAGTTCTAGCGATAGTATCTTTGAATAATCTGCAACCTGATTGTCTATCTTGCACGGCCGTCTTTATTCTATACAAATCTATTTCTCTTAGAAAGGACCCCCGTTACATTATCCATGTTGGGCCAAAAGAAGTTATTTTTCACCCGCTCTAGTGTCTTAAATTGGCCAAAATGACCAGCCACCTTAGAGTCATGGGTATCGGACAGTATTTCCCTCTGAAGCTTCTTGTCTTTGGGTATGTACCATCTATTCTTGTAGAAGATGAGACCGTTCTTGACCGACAAGTTCTGGTCCAAATTTGGTTTCCTTTCAACCAGGGAGCGGTGCAATTCCTGCCAGAAACTATCCTCTTTAGCAGCCGTGTATAGGCGCTCTAAGAATGTATTCTGCAACTGATTCACCCTGACAGCCACTAGCTTTGCATGATCCAAAACCAATTGACCTGGCCTAAAAAAGATCTGTGGCTCCGGCTGCAGAGTTTCACCTCCCTCTCCAAGGCGGTGATCCCAGCGCCTAGATAGCACATCAGTCTTGCCATTCTTTTCTCCCGGTCTGTAGACAACTTTAAAATTGTAGCCCGCGAGGTCTTCAGACCATCTAGCTTGCCGCCTAGTGAGAACCTTGATAGAATTAAAGTACTCCAAGTTCTTGTGGTCTGTAAAAACCGTGATCTCTTGCTCACAAGATTTGAGCATGTGTTCCCATTCCCGGAAAGAGGCTACAATAGCTCCCATTTCCTTATCATGAATGTCATAGTTGATCTCAGCAGGGGAGAACTTCTTAGAATAGAATGCCACCGGATGTAGCTTCCCATCATCCCCATACTGAGAGAGTGTAACGGGGGTCCTTTCTAAAAGAAATAGATTTGTATAGAATAGAGACGGCCGTGCAAGATAGACAATCAGGTTGCAGATTATTCAAAGATTCTATCGCTAGAACTCAATAATCTTTAAGGGCTCTGCTACCGATAAGAACTTGGTTTTTATTTCTAATGAAGACTGGAGAGAACAGGACTGAAGGGCGAGAATGAACCTGAGTACTTATACTCCGAAGGCCTCTGTTCTCTGCTCCTAACTTCCTTTACTAAGTTCCGGTGGGCCTTCCCTTAGTACCGGAAACAATACCACCGCTACCCCGCTTTTCTCTAAGCGTCAGCAGGTGTTTTCCGATACCCAAGGCAACCACCCTTAGTCAAAAGCCTTTGTAACACCTGCAGCCTTGGTTGCCACACAACCGAGGACCTGCATGAATGAGCTGCCACTCAGGTGTAAGCTTAATCATTGCTGTAGAGCTTTCGCTTATTGTAGACTTCCCTAGCATAGTCCCTGCCCTTCGGCGGACTCACAATGCTCAGAGGATACAGAGGATCACCGGGCAATCAGAGCTTCACTCTGGCCGATCTTCTAGTCACTGGCGAGGCATAGACTCGTCAGTCATTGCTCCCATGAATAGATCCCCTTCCTAGCGCCCGGAATGTAGTTACTCTGACAGCTGGTAGCTAACCACACTGCCGGTACTTGCATATCACCGTGCAACTGGCTTCTAACAATAACTCTCAGCATGTAACCGGGCCCTGTGTGTACTCATACACCAGACAGTTGAAATGGCTCCGTTACAGAGAGCACCGCTCTTGGCAAAATCACTGGCATCTGTCTCGACCACCGTTCTCCTACTAGGGTCAAAATGAAGGAGGATTGGGGCGCTTGTGAACAGCCTCTTGAGTTCTTCAAAGGCCTGCTCATGTGCTGCCGTCCAATACCATTTCTTGTCTTTTTGCAGGAGGTCAGTTAATGGTTTGCAAACTTTACTGAAGCCTTCAATAAAGCGGCGATAGAAGTTTGCAAATCCGAGGAATGCCTGTACTGCCTTGATATTCTCAGGAACCGGCCATTCCTTAACTGCCTCCACCTTGTCTTCTGACATAGATACTCCTTCTTCCGAGATGTGATAGCCTAGGTACTCTACTTCTCGGACATGGAAGGATGTCTTGCTGATCGAGGCACAGAGCTTTGCTTCTCTAAGCTTCTGTAGTACCTTCTTGACCAGTAGCTCATGCTCTTTCTCAGTTTCCGAGTAGATGAGGATCTCGTCGATATAGACAACTACTCCTTCATCCAGTAGTTCCTTTAGCGCATCATTGATCATTGCCTGGAAGGCGGAGGGGGCATTGCATAGACCAAACGGCATCACATTATACTGATACAGTCCATAGCGGGTTCTGAAAGCAGTTTTCCACTCATCACCTTCGGCTATCCTGATCAAATTGAAGCCGTTCTTCAGGTCTATCTTTGTGAAGATCTTGGCCTTGAACAACCTGTCTCTGAGCTCGCTCATGATAGGCAGCGGGTACTTGTCCTTGACAGTGACCTTGTTCAAACCTCTGTAATCCACACAAATCCGCAATGTACCATCTTTCTTAGGAATGAACAATATGGGCGCCGCAGCAGGGCTATTAGATCTAGAGATCTTTCCTGAAGACAATTCTTTATCCAGGTACTCTCGGAGGGCCTTCAACTCTGGAGCGGAACATGGGTATAGTGGGCCAAATGGGGGAGCGGTACTGTGAGGGATGCGTACCAGACCACCAGAGTACACTACGCGGAGCTCAGAGTTCGGCTAACAGCTACAAAGGTAGAAGTCTCCAAGGTCTCTTCAGTCAACGTCGAGTATGATTCTCCTTGATCCGATACGGGCCCCGCGAGCTACGTTATCAACAAAGATTCACTAGAGTTAGCGTGTGATGTTCGACCGTCTTCGACGTAATAGTTCAGGTAGAGTTCGAAGTCACGATAGAATAAAGTATTTCCAAAAGTATAGTCAAATAAAGTTGTAACTCGCGTATCAACGATTTATATTGTTAAGACTCTGATTTCGCCGATGATGGTTTGGCTAGTCAGTGAATGACACAGTATTTATATCCCTCGCTTATGCCTCGAGGACCCAGTCTACTAATAATACAGAATACACTCGGGGCATGCCCGAGACCCTGAAAAATAACCAAGAACATTTAACTCCTAAGTCCGTAACCCAAACTCCTAAAGCCGCTGAAACCCCTCAACCTATTTACCCACTCTAATGCACGTTTCCCTGTCGATGTTTCTTAACCATCGGCCGTCTGGTGGATAATCGTCAGCGTCGGCTATTCGGAGGTCTCGGACGGCAAGGCTACCTACTCAGGCCTCTTCCCACATCGCTTTCCCACATAGCAGAGTCCTCTCATGCCCACAGGTACCGCCGATAGGTACTCGGTCGGCTGGCAGCTTGCGCCGATTCGCTCCGAGCGGTCTAATCTTCGATCCGATTGATTCCAGCTGTCCCTCATATATCCACCGGTACCAAAACACTCCCCTCCGGCGGTTTGACGCTCCGGGGGTTATTATTGGGGTCAAAAACGTGTTTTTTAACTAGGAAAACCGCAACTCCGCATTTGGTCGCATATTGATCGCACCGCACCTCGTGGGTGCGAACCGGAGTGGACATTAGTGTACAGAGGGTATTGGGGTATCTACTAGCCTTTTCTCTTACTTCCGTAAATGCTTGGCATGCCCGTAACACCTCTATAGTCTCAGGCGTTGGTCCTTCACAGCCTTGGGGTTCCTTCGATGGAAGTCGCAGACTAGATCAAGTACGTCGTCACTCATAACGCCCATGACTTGGTAAGTACAGTCGCTCATCGAATAGCCCCGCCATTTCACCAGGTATTCTACTAATCCTCTTCTGCTCCTCCGGCTTCCCACTATACTTTCCACTTCGTACAGAACCTCTGCTTCCTTATCGACCTCTTCGGGAGTCGGGGGACGTTGTTCGCGGCCCGGGATACTGCTCTGTCGGTAACGTTCCAAAAGTTCAATTTGGAACACGTTATGGATTTTGATTTGTGGTGGCAGTTCCAATTCACAGGCTCGTTTTCCCGCTAGTCAGTTGATCTTGAACGGACCGAGTTTCTTATGATCGAGCTTTTTGATGGAGCGACGTGTCTTAATATTGGCCGCATTCAGCATGACCATGTCGCCTATCTTAAAGTTCGGCGGTTCGTCCCTTTTCCGATCATAGTATTTCCCCATCTTCTCCCTGGTGTCCGTTAAGCGAGCGAGAGCAGAGTCGTGAACTCCTCGGATGAAGTGAGCGTACAGGTCACTGGTTGGATTGACCACTTCGGCTTCCGTCGGCCAGTTGGTTCTTGGGTTGTAACCGTAATTGGTATAGAACGGAGATTGGCCCGTAGCGGTGGTAACCGAGTTGTTGTAAGCATACTCCGCCAACGGGAGTAGCTCTGCCCAATCATCTTGCTCGTAGTTGCAGAAGGCTCGTAGGTAGTGCTCGAGGGTTTGATTAACCCGCTCTGTTTGCCCATCGGTCTGAGGGTGGAAAGCCGTACTCATTCTTATCCTCACATCCAATAATTCCATAAGGGATGCCCAAAAGCTTGAAGTAAATTTGGCATCTCTATCGGAAACTATATCAAGAGGCAGCCCATGGAGTCGCCAGATTTGACTGAGGAATATCTTCGCTAAATCCTGCGCGGTCGTTTCTGCTACTAAGGGGATGAAGTGCGACATCTTTGAGAACCTATCGACTACTGCCCAAATTTGGTTATATCCTTTCGATTCCGGTAGCTGCACGATAAAGTCCATTGATATTGATTGCCAGACAGCATGTGGCGTGGACAGTGGTAGAAGCGCGCCGTATTTCTTATGGTGGCTGGGTTTGTTGCGCTGGCACTCGTCACATGACCGAACGTAATCATCAATCCACTCGTTCATTTTTGGCCAATAGAAGTTACACGTAATGAGTTCCAAAGTTTTGTCTTGTCCAAAGTGTCCTGCCACTTTTGAATCATGTTCTGCCTGTGCGATTCGGATCTTAATGCGGTCATCTGCCGGGATGTAGAGTCGGTTCTTATAGAAGAGTAGCCCGTCTTTCTCAGCGATGTCCTTCAATTCCCCCAGCTTCTCCCCTTGCTCAACTCTCTCTTTCAATCCTACCCATGTCGGGTCTCCCGATGCCGCCTGCCTGACATGATCCAGAAAGTCGTTAGACCAGTCAATCACCCCCTTGGAGGCAAGCGACACCGCTGATACCACAAACTCTTCCTCCGCCAACTGTCCGGGCTTAAACAACCTGTCTATCGGCTGTTTCCCAAGCGTGCCTCCCCCTTCAGGACGGTACTCCGGCCGTCGCGATAGTGCATCTGCCTTCCCATTTTTGGTTCCCGGGCGGTAAATAATCTTGAAGTCAAATTCCGCCAAAGACTCAGCCCACCTTGCCTGTCGTCGGTTAAGAACCTTGGTTGTAGAGAAGTACTCTAAGTTCTTGTGATCCGTATAGACGAGGACCGTTCGGCTAGGTCCCTCGAGGTAGTGACGCCATTGCTTGAAGGCTGACACAATTCCTAGCATCTCCTTATCCCAGACGTCGTAGTTGAGTTCCGCTGGGTTAAGCTTTCGAGAATAGAAGGCAACAGGGTGAGTCTTTCCGTCAATAACCTGGGATAGAATTGCGGCAATAGCAAAATCACTCGCGTCCGTTTCCACGATAGTCTGGCGATCTGGAGAGAAGTGTACCAAGATCGGCGCAGACGTAAATAGGGTTTTGAGTTTTTCGAAGGCTACTTGGGCCGTCATAGACCAGACAAAGTTCTTAGCATCACCCCTGAGACAATCGGTAATGGGTTTACAGACCCCAGAGAAATTGTGGATAAACCTTCTGTAGAAGTTGGCAAAGCCCATGAAGATCTGTACTTCCTTAACGCTGCGCGGGGATTGCCAATTCGTAACAGACATGACCTTATCCAGTGCCATGGTGACGCCTGCTGGGGCAAGGATATATCCAAGGAACTCGATTTCGGTGAGCTCGAAGAACGATTTCTTCGGGTTGGCGACTAGATTGTATTCTTGTAGCCTACTAAGGACTTTGCCGACCAACTCTCTATGCTCCTCTCGAGACTTGCTATATATTAGGATATCATCAAGGTATACTACTACACCTTGATCCAAAAATTCCCTCAGCGCATCATTCATCATGTTCTGGAAGGTCGCCGGCGCATTTGCCAGCCCAAAAGGCATAACGAGGTACTCAAAATGCCCGTACCGCGTACGAAAGGCTGTCTTCCACTCGTCGCCGTCTTTGATCCTGATGAGGTTGTAACCTTCCTTCAGGTCAATCTTCGAGAAGATAACCGCGCCTGCCACTCGATCTCGCAGCTCGTCCATAAGCGGTAGAGGATACCTATTCTTGATGGACACACGGTTAAGTCCACGGTAGTCAACGCAAAGTCGTAGACTACCGTCCTTCTTCTTCACAAATAGGATTGGGGCTCCTGCCGGGGATTTGCTCGGCCTAATTTTTCCCAATCGCAACATTTTGTCTAGGTACTTGTTACGGGCATGCCAAGCATTTACGGGAGTGAGAGAAAGGCTAGTAGATACCCCAATACCCTCTGTACGCTAATATCAACTCTTGACCACACTCGCGGAGTGTGGTGCGACCAAATTACGACCAAAAAACCCAGAGTCATAAAAAACACGTTTTCGACCCCAATAATAACCCCCGGAGCGTCAAACCGCCGGAGGGGAGTGTTTTGGTACCGGTGGATATATGAGGGACAGCTGGAATCAATCGGATCGAAGATCGGACCGCTCGGAGCGAATCGGCGCAAGCTGCCAGCCGACCGAGTACCTATCGGCGGTACCTGTGGGCATGAGAGGACTCTGCTATGTGGGAAAGCGATGTGGGAAGAGGCCTGAGTAGGTAGCCTTGCCGTCCGAGACCTCCGAATAGCCGACGCTGACGATTATCCACCAGACGGCCGATGGAGAAGAAACATCGACAGGGAAACGTGCATTAGAGTGGATAAATAGGTTGAGGGGTTTCAGCGGATTTAGGAGTTTGGGTTACGGACTTAGGAGTTAAATGTTCTTGGTTGTTTTTCAGGGTCTCGGGCATGCCCCGAGTGTATTCTGTATTATTAGTAGACTGGGTCCTCGAGACATAAGCGAGGGATATAAATACTGTGTCATTCACTGACTAGCCAAACCATCATCGGCGAAATCAGAGTCTTAACAATATAAATCATTGATACGCGAGTTACAACTTTATTTTGACTATACTTTTGAAAATACTTTACTCTATCGTGACTTCGAACTCTACCTGAACTATTACGTCGAAGACGGTCGAATTCTATACGCTAACTCTAGTGAATCTTTGTTGATAACGTAGCTCGCGGGGCCCGTATCGGATCAAGGAGAATCATACTCGACGTTGACTGAAGAGACCTTGGAGACTTCTACCTTTGTAGCTGTTAGCCGAACTCTGAGCTCTGCGTAGTGTACTCTTGTGGTCTGGTACGCATCCCTCACAGTATATTGTTACTCACAAGTTCACTTGGAGTAACGAAGTCACCTCAAAGAAAAGAACTATCATCGTTATCCCCTATTACAATGACTACCCGAAGGGATAATTACTTCATAGATACCTCGGCCGTAACTGAGGAGGCTGGAGGAGAAGATTCTATGGTGATATCAAGGGCTGCTAGCCCAGACCCCCTACTTACGGGAGGACCCTCTACAACAACTAGGCAATCGAGTAAACGCTCTGCTCAAGCCCAGTTTGTGAGGAATATGCAGGAGTTTTTGGATACCCATGAGGCACAGATGAGGTATCTTGGTGCAGCTGGACAGGCCGTTTGGCAGCAGCTACAAAACCTCCAGGAGCAAGTCCAAGGGAGTGGACAAATCCTGGATAAGAAGGTACGGCAAGAAGCCATTGCCCAAAAACAACATCTCGAGTCACTCTTTGAGCTCGTCACCCATGTCCAACAAGTGCAAGAAACCGCACGAGCCGCCGACCACGAGGTTCTGGACCGTAACCATCGGATTACCCAGAACCAACTATTGGAAGCGGAGCGACAGCTGAGGATGGTACGAGAAGAGCGGGAGCAGGAGAAAGGGGAACAACGGGCTATGTTTGCGCAATTCAAGCAGTCCGATGAGATAAGAAATCAGCGGATAGCCGAGATGGAGGAACTACTGCGACAACACCTGTCAGTAGCACCATCCGTGGCTAGTGCTCCCTTAGACCCTAACGCGCCCCGAACGGTTCCTGTTGGCAATGGCAAGAAACCCGAAAATGCTGGCCCAGTAGGAGGAAATGCTGGTCCCGTAGGAGGAAATGGAGGCAGGCAACCGGAGGATGCCAGCCCAGTGCATGGCAATAGTGGCAGAGGACCGGTGGGAGCTGCTCCAGTTGGTGGAAATGGTGGGAATCAACCGCCACAAAACCCACCAAGAGGAAACGTTGGGGGAGACCCAGAACCTTCCGACGACGATGACGACGACAACAGTGAATGGTCGCACGGTCGGAAGAATTGGAGAAGAAACCGAGGCGGGAACCGGAATTCGGCGCCGCCTGAAGACGACGATATGGTAGATTCGCTCGCCAAAATACCCTTTGAGTTCGATAATGCCAGGAAGCATAACCTG